CACCCTTTCAATCCCCTTGGAAGCTATGCGAACATGGGAACATGGCAGCAATGTCACCGTGAGACAGTGACCCTGCCCTGCCCTGCGCAAGGTGGGCGGGCCAGAGGCTCTGACGCCACAAAAACCCATCGTCTCCAGTAGGCCCATATGAGCCACTGGGTCACATCCCATCACCCAGCAGCAGAAGTGACTTATGATTGCCACTTAACAGATACTTTTCTTATTGCTGCCCAACCACAGCACAGCAGGCCCTAAATTCCTCTCTGGCCCAGAACAGCCGAACTGAGCCTCGTGCTGAGGATGTGTTTCTTCCCTGAAGGTCTCGGTTGAGTCAAGGCTGGGCAGAGCAGCAGGACGCAGGCCAGCTCCCAGCCCGCTCTCTCTGATGCTCCACCCCGACTTCCAGAGCAGAGACTTGGACCAGTGTCTACCCAGAAAGGCAGGAGAGCAGGCTCTGCCCACCCACCACATCTGCTCGGGCTTCAGCTGGGCCAGGGCTGAGCCCCGTGACACCCAGTGGCTGAAACAAAGAGCAGGATCCCTGCAGAGCTCTGGGCACAACAGCGGTGCTGGATGCACAGCATTGGGAATGTGTTTAACGCCACTGAACTCTATACTTAAAAAAGGTTAAGCTGGTAAATTTTACATTATATGTATTTCACCACAATAAATAAAAAAGTTGGAAAAACCAAAGCAGTGGTTAGGACCATGACAGGCCTGGGATTTGGCCGACTCTCTGTTAATGCCCTGGTGACCTGAACGAGTTAATGCCTCTTTGCAAACACACGGTGCTAATGATGCATATTGTACTAACGAGGAGAACTCTGATTCAGGAAGGCAGACACTGGGAAGCACGTCCCTAAAGAGGCCATTTGCTTCTGTCACTTAGAAGATGCTATGCTTCAAAGTTATGGTCCTTTTCATGTAATAATAGTACAAAGATTTTCGACAGGTGATCATCTCAGATTTTACTGTTTACAGATGATGGGAAAACTAAAGGACCGAGGGTGTAATGGCTTGTCTGAGACTTCACAGCAAAGGAGGGGAACAGGAAGAACAAAGCAAAACAAAACAAAAAACAGAGACTCCCGCAGGGCCACGCAGCTCATCCGTGGCAGCTCTAGACCTGAGCTGGGCGGTCTGCGTCAGAGCCTGGCCTGGGGACCGTCACTGTAGGTGGCACCTCAGCAGTGAAAATGCAGCCATGCAGCCTCCCGGGGCAGCAGGACGTCCTCAAGGTCCAGATGACTTACTTTCAAAACAAGAAAAACAGTGGCTTTCTGTAGCACTGAGGTCACTGGCCGATGAATGAGAACACGTCTAAGTGGCTCACACGGACCTCAGACAGGAAGATCAGTGCAAACCACTGACCCTGAGCTGTCCACGGGGACACCTGCACACAGGGTGTGGGGGCAAGAGGGGATGACAGCAGACACCGCTCCCTGCACGCTGCTCTGGGGCTCGCTGCTGCGGGCAGGGGCCGCCCCTCCTGACCCACACATGCCTCGCAGGCCGCCTGCCCTGACCACCCACACATCCTACCCCCAATGCCCCTCTGCAGAAACACGAGGGAGACACGATTTAATTAAGCTTAAACATGCTGATCTAGAGAGACGGACGGCTCTCAGTAGAAGCCTCCACCGCCTGTGGAATATTCCATGACCAAAGCAAACACCCAAAGAAAGATAAAGACTGCTGCCAGTGGATGCTGGGATGTCACAGCCTTAGCTAATGCCCGAGGCCTTTGGTTTTCAAGATTAAAAATAAAAATATAACTGATAAGCACAAATGAGACATGAATAATGAGGCCAGAAGCCAGACACTCTTCATAACGTAACCTGAGAATGACACTCAGTGACGTAGGGTTCGATTTACTG